AAGAAAATACAAAACACGCAGGATGAAACTGGCGCTCACTGTATTCGACATCCTGATATGATAATATCCAAGCCACAGGTCAAGCAAAGTAAAGCAAGTAATTTCTCAATAATCAGCTTGTTAATGTGCTTGTCTCCTACCATTTTCGCCGAAAAATGTTTATGTTGACCTGAAGTGTATGAGTATTGCGTAAGCCAGAGTTCCCGGATGTATCAATTGTGGTTCAGCATGGGGGAAAATGATATTAATATCACTTTACAAACATGCGCCGCGCAACTCGTACAAGCGAAATTATTTAAAAAGTCTGCTAGTTATGTGTTTATTGCAGCATGATGTATCGGAAAATAGCACTTCCTTCTGGAGGTTAGTACTCCTTTAAGCATGTTTTCTTCTGTAAATACTGAGTCGTACTGTTGAATAAGTATTTCCGCTTTCTGTTAGTTGTCTGAAATAAGATCATTCTGATGTTTTAATGGTGCGATCCCTGTGGCTGTCTGTTTTCTCCCTTTTATATAGTTCCAAATTTTTTAAGGATTTTCCAAGGACTCACTCATGATGTCGTTGAGGTATTCATTATGGGCTTTCCTAATCTTCTTTTTTGTTTCTCTACGATGTTTTTGAATGTATCCCAGTCTATTTCGCTCATCGAGTTTTTTGCTCCTTTGTACAGCTTCTTTTTCTTCTTGGTTGCTCTTTTTAGTGCTGCATTCAACCACGGGCATTGGTATTTACCTGAGAGTCGTTTTTCTGGGACATGCTTTGCCATTGAGTTCTTTACGTTCGACCCTCGCCACTTACATGTACGTCAATTTGCATCAGGCAAAGTGGCCTTTTTTGAGAGCGTGGAATAAAATAGAAATGTTAACTGGATTGTAAAGTATCGCATAAGGCCTAAATTACAAATTTAGAAACGCGTAGAACTGATTTGTAAAAACAGTGAATAGAGAAGCCTGGTGACCAAACCTATAGGCTATACTGCCGACTCTCTTTCCAGCCTAGCGAATGGAGTCATTTCACCCATTGTTCGTAGTCGTAGAAGTAATAAATAATATGATATGAAATGTTTTAATTAAATGAGTTTGGTGGTGTGAGTGAGTGATTGTAAGATCTCAATAATTATGATTTTGAAGCATTATAGAAGCAAATTTATTCAAAGGCGAGAAAGACAACACGTTAGAATTATATTGGGTTACGTTGTTATATATTATGTTGATATTGTAGAGCATTTTAAAGTCGGAACTCTTGAAACTTTTTTTCTAAATCCCAATTTCATTATTGACAGCATTTAAAGCTTGACCTTTTAATTCTTTTTTCATTAGGCTCAACATGGCAACAGCAGGGCATGGGTCTCCCACCGGAGTTGGTCAGAACTGCTGTGATGGGTCTCCCACCGGGGTTTCTCAAGTCGACTGTGACAGCAAAACAAGCGATGCTGAAAGCCAGGCCGCAGCACAACAAGTCAACTTGAATAACGCTGGTGAGGAATGTGTGAGGAATGTGGATACAGGGCGGCTAAAAAGTCAATCTTGTCCAGACATATGAGAATCCATACAGGAGAAAAACCCTACAAGTGTCACCAGTGTGACTATTCTGCAGCATGGAAATATGCTTTGGACCTACATCTAATAAAACACACCGGTGAGAAACCCTACATGTGTGGGGAGTGTGGGTACAGGACAGCTGTGAGGTCCAACTTATCTCGACACATGAGAATCCATACAAGAGAAAAACCCCACAAGTGTAACCAGTGTGACTATTCTTCAGCACAGAAATCTGATTTGGACAAACATCTAGCAAAACACTCAGGTGAGAAACCCTACATTTGTGAGGAGTGTGGGTACAGGACGGCTAAAAAGTCTCACTTATCCCAACAGATGAGAACCCATACAGGGGAAAAACCCTACAAGTGTGACCAGTGTGACTATTCTGCAGCACGGAAATCTCATTTAAACGATCATCTCACAAAGCACAGTGGTGAGAAACCTTACATGTGTGAGGTGCGTGGGTACAGTGCGACTTACAAGTCTACCTTATCCCTACATATAAGAACCCATACAGGAGAAAAGCCCTACAAGTGTGATCAGTGTGACTATTCTGCAGCACGGAAGTCTCATTTAGACGATCATCTCACAAAGCACAGTGGTGAGAAAGCCTACATGTGTGGGGGGTGTGGGTACAAGACAGCTAGAAAGTCTGACTTATCCCAACATATGAGAACCCATACAGGAGAAAAACCCTACAAATGTGACCAGTGTAGCTATTCTGTTGCACAGAAAGCTAACTTAGACAAACATCTATTAAAACACACCGGTGAGAAACCCTACATGTGTGGGGAATGTGGGTACAGGTCAGCTCAAAAGGCCAACTTATCCCAACATATGAAAACCCATACAGGAGAAAAACCCTACAAATGTGACCAGTGTGACTATTCTGCAGCACAGAAATCCATGCACTTTAGATGATCATAAAGCAAAACACACCGGTGAGAAACCCTACATGTGTGGGGAGTGTGGGTACAGGACAGCTGGAAGGTTCAGCTTATCCCGACACATGAGAACCCATACAGGAGAAAAACCCACAAATGTGACCAGTGTGACTATTCTGCAGCACTGAAACACAATTTAGACCGACATCTAACAAAACACACTGGTGAGAAGCCCTACATGTGTGGGGAGTGTGGATACAGGACAGCTTAAAAGTTTCACCTAGCCGAACACATGAGAACCCATACAGGAGAAAAACCCTACAAATGTGACCAGTGTGACTATTCTGCAGCACAGAAATCCACTTTAGATGATCATAAAGCAAAACACACCGGTGAGAAACCCTACATGTGTGGGGAGTGTGGGCACAGGACAACTAAAAAATTCTACTTATCCCGACATATGAGAACTCATATGGTAGAAAAACCCTTCAAGTGTGACCAGTGTACCTATTCTACAGCCTCTAAGTCTTCCCTAACTCGACATATGAGAATTCACACAGAGGCACCAACTCTGCAACTGTGACCATCACGTGGTGACATTTACGACGCACAGTCTGCTGTTAACTACAGTTTCGCCACTTAATATTTTGATTCGAATCTTAAGGGTATATGACAGTTATTTTCATTAAGATTTAGGCTGAATATTCTCTAAGAATTCATGATGTTTGCAAGTACGCAAAGTTTTGCCTAGAAACTGCCGTATGCCTTTGTTCACTTTTGTTCACTAATGAAGTTATGCAATAATTTACATGCAAGAGGAAGTCTTTAGTTAATAGCCCATATACTTTGTTCTAGTATCAATTATTTTGAACCGAAAAATCTCTTTTAGCTATCCAGAATTGTAGAGTGAGAATAGTGAGCGTTATAGTATTAATTGAATATTGTACATATACATAATCAGTAATTAACATCGGTAAGTGATTGTACACAGTAGTTGAAGCTGAAAGGTAGACACTAGTGCTGTGTTTGTACACAGTAGGAATGTAGACGTTAGTGTTGTCAGTGTGTGCGAGCTTAGATTTCCTGTGTATCTACTAGTAGTAATAGATATCTATCTTGTAACTATCAACTATTTAAATTACTAGGATTTCTTAGGATAAAACCCAAAAGCTAATAGTATGCATTTGTATCAGATTAAAATAACTGATGTTCTTCAGTTTCCAACAGTAGGAAGTCATTTTACGCCAGTGAAAAGGTAGACGATAGGTTGTATACAAGTAAATTTTCTGTTTTGTATTTTTGTCTAGATGTACAGATATTTTGCACTGACATGATTAAATCGTGTAATACCTTGAACATAATGTTTCCTTCTGTGTTGCTTTTTTTTCCTTGGATGGAATATTGTCAGAGGTGGTGATTTGATCATAAAACACAGAAATCAAGATTCAGACAGTTTGGCTTGACATCCATTCCCTTAAATTATCTCTTAGTAGATCAGAAAGGAGAAGAAAAGTCAGACGCTTGTTACCTTGTTAATGTGGTCGGTTTGAAACGCAGAACGTTGACATTATGAGGAAAACGTAACGTGCCACCCGACGTCAAATGTACTACAAGGGTAATCAGGTCGACAATTTCACCCTTGACCCAGATCGAGTTCACCTCTGACCTCGCGAGACGAAGGTGGAAGGACAAAGCTGCCCGAGTTCCGGTNAAAGGTAGACATTAGTGCTCTGTTTGTACACAATAGTTGGAATGTAGACGTTAGTGTTGTGTGTACGAGCTTAGATTTCCTGTGTATCTATAGTAGTTCCTGTCACGAAGTGTTTGCCTATATGTCCTACAAACACAATTATATCTTGTAACTATCAACTATTTAAATTACTAGGATTTCTTAGGATAAAACCCAAAAGCTAATAGTATGCATTTGTATCAGATTAAAATAACTGATGTTCTTCAGTTTCCAACAGTAGGAAGTCATTTTACGCCAGTGAAAAGGTAGACGATAGGTTGTATACAAGTAAATTTTCTGTTTTGTATTTTTGTCTAGATGTACAGATATTTTGCACTGACATAATTAAATCCTGTAATACCTTGAACATAATGTTTCCTTCTTTGTTGCTTTTTTACATTTCAGCGCATGCGCGCTTACCCTGGGGCAACTCCTCTACCTTGTTCTGCTGTCAACCTGCTACTCCAGTTTCTCCCTCAGCTGCCCAACCTGCAGGAGTTAGCACTTTGTGTCAGCTGTCAGGGGGAGGAGGAGGCTGAACTCACAGGTCAGCTGTATGGGGTACAACCCACATTGAGGGCTCTTAAGCTAAGGGCAAGGGTCTGGTCACTGTACAAGATGACGAGTCTATTGAAACTGATGTTGCAACAGTTCCCTCTGTTAGAAGAGATAGATCTCAGTCGCAGTGACATTAGTGATGAGGCAGTGCCTAGTCTTGCTGAAGGTCTTGCCTCATGTCAAAAGCTGAGGAAGATAAACATCAGTCATAACAAGTTGTCTGGCAGGGGAGACTTCTTACCTCTCCTTCTCAACTTGGAGGAGATAGATCTCAGTCACAATGACTCAAAGTAATTATTCTTTTACTCCAATTCCTCCCTCATCTGCCCAACTTGGAGGAGATAGATCTCAGTCATAATGACATTAGTGATGAGGCAGTGCCTGGTCTTGCTGAAGGTCTTGGTTCCTGTCAGAACCTGAAGAAAGTTAACCTTAGTCATAACAAGTTGTCTGACAGAGGAGACTTCCTACCTCCCCTCCCTAACTTGGAGGAGATAGACTTACTTACTTATCCTCTTCGTCCCTTGTGAGACATAAGGCCATGACTTTCTTCCTCCATCTGGGTCTGTCCTGCGCCATGTTGTTGACACTTCTCCAGTTCAGACCCATGGCCGCCAGGTCGTCCGACACCGTTCTCCTCCATGTGGTCTTTGGTCTGCCTCTTTTCCTCTTTCCTTCTGGCCTCCAGCTAAGGGCGACTTTGGGGATCCTGTTGTCAGGCATCCTCAGTACATGCCCTAGCCACTTGAGTCTTCTGCCAGTGATCTCAGTGGTGAGTTTCCTACAGCCAGTTCTGTTGTAAAGTTCGGCGTTGGAGATCTTGTTTGGCCAGAAGACGTTGCAGATCTTACGTAGACAACTGTTGTGAAATGAGTTGATCTTCCTCATGTCTGTCTTCGTCATTCTCCAACTCTCCGAGCCATACAGAAGGACGGATTTCACATTGCTGTTATAGAGTCTGATCTTGGTCGTGAGGCTATACTGCTTCGACTTCCAGATGGTTTGTAGTCGGCTAAAGGAACCTCTTGCTTTGTCCAGGCGGGTTTTAATGTCTTTTTGTGCACCATCTGTAGCACTCATAACACTTCCCAGGTAAGTAAAAGCGCCTACACCTTCCAGTGCCTCCCCGTCTATTTTGATGGGAGGGTTTGCTGGAGTGTTGATGTACATTACTTGTGTTTTCTTCTTATTAATGTATAAGCCTGTGCTTTTGCCACGGTCGCTTAGGCGGTCCGTCTTTTCCTGGAGTGATTTGCGAACAGATGAAAGGACGGCAAGATCGTCGGCAAAGTCGAGGTCCTCAAGGTAAGTGTTCAGTGACCATTTGATGCCACGAGGACGGTCTGACGTGGTTTCTCTCATTACCCAGTCAATAGTGATGAGAAACAGGATAGGGGAGAGGATGCAGCCCTGTCTTACACCAGACTTTACGTAGAAAGGTTTGGACAAACTGCTTTCCGTGATGACACTACATTCGAAGTGTTCGTAGAATTTCCCTATCATGGAAACTATCTTCTGTGGAATCCCATAGGCTCTTAGTATCTTCCACAGGCTCTCCCTATGCACACTATCAAAAGCCTTTTGAAAGTCAATAAAGTTTATCAGCAGAGGGGAATTCCATTCAACACACTGTTCAATGATATTTCTGAGAGCAAAGATCTGGTCTGAGCAACCACGAGCTTTACGAAAACCTGCTTGTTCTTCTCTCAACTTGGTGTCTAGGGCACTGTCAATCCTTCTGAGGAGGATTCTGCAGAACACCTTGCTTGGGATGGACAATAATGTTATTCCCCGCCAATTATCACAGTTACTTAACACACCTTTCTTGGGGATCTTAAAGATGAGTCCCTTCTCCCAGTCTTGAGGGATAACTTCATGTTCCCATATTTTGGCAAAGAGGTCTGTGAGTAATAGTGTGGCTGTCGCACAGTCTGCCTTCAGGAGTTCTGCTTGTATGGCATCAATTCCTGGGGCCTTTCTGTTTTTCATGGCTTTAATTGCCGTTTCTACTTCTTCATGGCTGGGGGGGTCGTGTTGATGGGAATATCATCAGACGGAGTGGGATCAGCTGGTTGATCAGGCTCAGGTCTGTTTAACACCTCCTCGAAATGTTGGGCCCATCTTTCTGCTTGTTCCTTCTCATTTGTAAGCAGTTTACCTTGTTTGTCCTTGATTGGAACTGAGCAGACACTGTTCTGGTTACTTAGTGTTTTGGTTATTCTGTACACTGTACTTAACTCTCCCCTTGTGGCAGCCCTTTCTGCTTCAGACGCCAACTCCTCTATGTAGGCTCTCTTGTCACGCCTAGCGCTGCGCTTAACCTGTTTGTCTTTGGTTCTGTATGTGTCTTTTGCTCGTTGGGACTTTGTGTTAAGCATCTTTCCTTTGGCTATTTTCCTCTCTTCAATCTTATTCCACGTCTCCTGTGTGATCCACTCCTTGTTATTTCTCTTTCTGTAGCCAAGGACTTTCTCTGCTGTTTCCCTATACACCTTTGTAATTGTGTTCCATGTTGTTTCTACAGTGTCATGCTCTTCCTCGCCATCAAGAGTTTCTAGGGCTTGGAAACGATTCCTTAACTCAAGGGCAAATTTCTGCCTGGTTTCTGGAGTGTGTAGTTTGGAGGTGTCAAACACCTTGCGACGTTTCTTAGAGGGGGGTGTAGCTCTCAGCTTCAGCCTGATCTTACACACTACCATGTGATGGTCACTACCCACATCTGCTCCTCGGTAGACTCTTACATCCAGAAGAGATCTCTGCCATTTCTTATAGGAGGAGATAGATCTCAGTCTCAATGTCATTAGTGATGAGGCGGTGCCTGGGCTTGCTGAAGGTTTTGCTTCATTCCAAAACTTAAGGACTGTCCATTTCACTAATAACAAGATATCCAATAAGGGAGCATTGCTGCTGCTGCTAAAAGACCAATACATAAAGATCAATGTTTGGGGAAACAATGTAAGTGACGACCTTGTGTCTCTGCTCACGTACAGAACAGATGCTACCCAAGTAAAACACATTTTTATAGTGGAGGCACTATGTGTTAAAGCCGTCCACCTTCTACTCCAGTTTCTCCCTCAGCTTCCCAACGCTAGCCAGGTAACAAAACTATTTCTCATACCGGAATACCCTGGGGCAACTGTTCATCCTCTACCATGTTCTGCTGTCAACCTGCTACTCCAGTTTCTCCCTCAGCTGCCCAACCTGCAGGAGTTAGCACTTTGTGTCAGCTGTCAGGGGGAGGAGGAGGCTGAACACATCAACCAGCTGTGTGGGGTGCAACTCCCATTGAGGACTCTTAAGCTAACAATAAGTGACTAGTCATTTCCCAAGATGACGAGACTGTTGACTCTGATATTGCAACAGTTCCCTCTGTTAGAAGCTATAGACCTCAGTCACAGTGATATTAGTGATGAGGCAGTGTCTGGTCTTGCTGAATGCCTTTCTTCATTTCAAAACTTGAAGAAGGTGGATCTTAGTTGGAACAAGTTGTCTGACAGGGGAGATTTTTTTACTCCTCCCGAACTTGGAAGAGATAGATCTCAGTCACAATGACATTAGTGATGTGGCAGTGCCTGGTCTTGCTGAAGGTCTTGCTTTGTGTCAGAACCTAAAGAAGGTAAATCTTAGTTATAACAAGTTGTCTGGCAGGGGAGACTTCTTACCTCCCCTCCCCAACTTGGAGGAGATAGATCTCAGTAACAATGTCATTAGTGATGAGGCACTGTCTGGTCTTGCTGAAGTTCTTGCTCCATGTCAGAACCTGAAGAAGGTGGACCTTCGTCATAACAAGTTGTCTAATGTTGGAGACCTAATGACAGCCTTTACCAACCTTCCCATCCTGACACGTGTAGATATTGCTTTCAATTCTATCCGTGACGAGTCCCTCCCTACTATAGCTGCATGGCTGAACGTTAGAACAGCTGTAGAGGAAGTTTGGCTGTACCGTAACAGGTTCCGTGCTGAAGGGGTCCGGGATTTTGTGAGAACCATGAAGGGCAAGGCTTATGGGTATCTTACTAATGACCTCCTGTATGACGGCAGCCAGGCTGATGTGAGCGAAGTTGTGCAGTCAGGTGGGGAGGGTGCACGGAGGGAAGAACAGCAGTGGGAGAGGTTGAGGACGGTGCCAAGTTTGATAAAGGTGAAGGTCAGACAACTGACAGTCAGCATTGATCATAAAGGTTCTAAGTCCACAAATACACAGCTAATACAGTGATTGGTCATAAAGGTCCCAGATCAAATAATACACAACTAGCACGCCCTAAGGTGGCTTTCTCCTCATTGGTCATGATTTTTAAAGAGTACCTCGAAAAGCCCATCCCTATGATGAAACATCTGTTTTATTTGCTCAATCTTGTAAAACAGATGTTTATAGGACTGGCTTTAAGATGTAGATCCCCGCTGCTGCCATGAATGTCCATAGCCTGGGTGCCATCCCCAGTAGTATATTCGCCAGCTCTATAACTGGGTCTGGACTTGATCACATATGTAGCGTCTGGAGTCTAAGCCCTTTTTTGGGTGTGTACATATTAGGTAAGGGCCATTCGGACGTCCGAACGGCGACCTTAGCGTCCGTTCGAACGTCCGAACGGCTAATAAGATAGATAGTTAGTCTTATCTTATTATCATCTACATGTCCGACGCCGAACGCTAAAGCGCGCTTGATATAGCCGTAGTCCAGCCGTAGTCAGTGTACTTTCCGCGATCGATCATCAACATGGCTGGCGCACAAGCCGCTGAGCTCTCGGAGCTTGATGTTGACCTCGCAAAAATAGAACGCACCGAGAAAAGGAACACTCGCGCGAACATCTGTGTTTACAAAACAACAAACATCACTTGAATAATATAGGCGCGCCATTGGCCGTCGCCTCTGAGGGTCAGCCAATCAAATGAAGACCCGCTGCTCGGACTAGCTCATTACCTGACGTCATCACCAGACGTTTCATATGTGATCAAGTCCAGACCCAGTTATAGAGCTGGCGAATATACTACTGGGGATGGCACCCAGGCTAGAATGTCCACTCGAGAGGAATAAAAAGCACTTTCACACCCTCTTAAGGTATTTGACATAATTGTAAATATTTCAACTGCCTTGTACCTCTGTGTGGAAAGAAGAACTAGTGGTGCCAGCACCAAAGACGACAAAGCCAAAGGGTCCAGAGGAATTTAGACGTATCTCCCTGACCAGCAGCTTGGGCAAGGTACTAGAGATGATTCTCCGTGATCTGCTGCTACAGGACACAAACGATCTAATCCATAACTCACAACACGGGTTTAGACGGGCACGGTCAACGGTATCGGCGCTTATCCACACGACACAGTCCTGGTATGACGCGGTCAACAGTGTTCCTAAAATGGATGTGCATGTCGCGTTCATCGACTTCACCCGCGCCTTTGATACTATTGATCACGGCAGTCTTCTCCGAAGCCTGTCGCACATGGGGATCAGACATGATCTCTGGCGGTGTTTGTGTAGCTACTTGAGTGGCCGCGTCCAGCGAGTGAAATGGGGGACGAGCATTTCTGAGGCGCGACCGGTGCTCGCAGGTACACCCCAAGGGGGGATTCTCTCTCCGACTCTTTTCATTATCGCCATGAACAGTTTAGATCAAGGAATTCCACCGAGCATCACACCAGTTAAATATGCTGACGATCTAACGAACTCAGAGTTTTTGATGGCCTCCTTGCCGGGTCTAATGCAGGTGGCATTGGACAAAGTTGACGCCTGGGCAAACTCTTTCTGCATGAGTGCCAATGCTAAAAAGACCAAAGATATGGTCATCAGTTGTCGCCGCAGCCCTGTAGTACCACCTCCACTTACCTTGAATGGTGAATCCGTTGAGAGAGTGACTTCCTTCAAGCTCCTTGGAATTGTGGTCAGCAACGACCTTAAGTGGGGACCTCATGTGGAATACATGCTAGCAAAGGTCCAGCCGCGCATACACTACCTGCGCGTAGCTAGGCGTGCTGCCCTACCCACGGAAGTACTACTGCAAATCTACAAGTCCTTTATCCGACCTGTGTTGGAGTATGGGTCCCCCGTCTGGGCCGGTCTTCCGCGTTGTCTGTCAGACGAGGTGGAAAGAGTTCAGAAGCTGTGCCTCAGGATTTGCGGAGTTCCCCGTGGATACTTGCCCACTCTCGAGTGCAGGAGGAGGGAGGCATCACTGAGAGAGCTAAAACGGATTCTACAAGACCCCACCAACCCCTGCAATGACTTTATCCCACCAAGAGAGAACACTGTATATAATCTTAGGAAGAACAGCAATCAGTTTAAGCTCCCATTAAGCCGATCGGACAGACACAAAAACTCCTTCATTGTGAGAGCCGTAAAAGACTTGTGATGTGTATTAGACATGTATATATATATATTGTATTTTAAAGTGAAATTGTACTATTTTAACCTACGTGTTCTTGATGTTGATTTTTAAATGATGATGATGTTTTTAATCTATTGTGATGATGTTTGTAAAATATCAATGCAATTCAGACGTGCCCGAAGTACTCGGCACGTCTGCAATGTTGATATTTAATAAAGATTTGATTTGATTTGATTTGATACTTTCATGTTTAGGTTGTTCCCGCTTTAACCTTTGCTCCCCATCCAACAAGTGAATATAAGCTCCATGTGCAAATCAAATTCACTATATTTTCATATTAAGGTCCTACTACTCTAATCTGTTTAGCGTTCCCCTCTCTATGCCTGGCTAAGTTAGCTCCATGCCCATTGGTGACAAGCTCCTTGTTATTAGAACATTCGTGTGATGTTAGTTGAAGACACAGTATTAATGTGAATTTGGCAAGAGTTCTTGAAGAGAGCTCTGTCAGAGATGTAACATTTTGCATAGTACTTACCGCAATAGCGTGTTTGTTGTTTGTATATTGTAATGTATATGAATTGTACATAACAAAGTTTAGTTCAAGACCTTTGAATTGTACACATCCCCCTCCTTTTTCCTTCCGTAGTTATCAACTTATAGTTTTATCCAATGGATAGAATACTGGTATTAATGGAAACACAGCATTATTTGTGATTGTGGCAATGATACTTCAGGGTGAAATTCTGAAAAGGCTGAATACATGTTAAAAGACCGTGCATATATGCCGTTTCTGTTTTATATAAATTGTACATAACTACATTGTAGTTAAAGATGTATTTAATTGAAATGTATATATATAATTGGAATGTAGATATTTTCTTCATTGCGTTGTGTGTGTTTTGCACAGAAATGAAATACATATTTTTGTAACTACATGTGCGTGTTTTGAAATGATTTTATGACTTTTTCTTGTAAACAGTTGTATGACATATATTTAAAACAAAAATTTGAACCCCGAACGGGCCAAGACGAACTGTTAAAAACTTTTGAACATGAAAACAGCTTAAAAAATGTGTACTTATTTCCTTTCATATGTACTAAGAATGTTAAATTACAGTATTTTCAGTATATGATAATACATAGATTTTTGCCGACAAATTGCTATTTAAAGAAAATTAGAGTTACAGACTCGGACAAATGTCTATTTTGTGATAGTATACAAAATCTAAGCCACTTGTTTGTGGATTGTTGTTATGTTACTAAATTTTGGAATGACTTTCGTTTCTGGTGGTTCGACACTTTTTCTGAACATATTGCACTTGAGCTGTGTACCTAAACAAATTTTAGGTACAGGTACAGGTACAGGTACACAGGTTTAGGTACAGGTCCGGACCTGAACCTGTACCTGAACAATTCGACCAATTTATATGCTCTTCTGAACTCATTCAATAACAAAAAAAAACATTAATAAACTTGATAGTTAAGGTTTATTCTTTGCTTATGGCGAATGCTCAGATAAAATATAGGCAAAACTAAGATGTTTTTGTTTTCATGAACACACTGTCCTTACACAGATACCCATTGTGGACCAGCTATTTACACATTTGAGGTCACAAATAGGCATAAAATTGGTGTGAAATTGTTTAGGTACAGTACCGGTACTGAGGGATTAGGTATTTTGGACCTGTACCTAATCAATTTTTCCGGTACAGTATCGGTACTGCGTACCGGTACACAGCTCTATATTGCACTAACCAAAACCGATATATAGTATGCTCCACCTCTACGGAGGATGAATGATGATGATGATGATGATGATGATGATGTATGGTAAAATTGAAAAGCTGAAAAAATATAGACACTTGAATCAATATTTATTATATGTAAAATATGCCATCTTTAAGAGTGCATCATCGAATAACAAACCTTATTTCTGTAATGCATTATTTTCATGATATTCGAGACAAATATTCTTCGTAAAATGTCACACCTGAAGTATGTATTCTGTGTACTATTATATTTGTATTAGGGGGGTTGCCACACGGTTTTTTCGTTGTATGTACATTTCTTTAAAAAAAGAATTAAAAAAAATGATTTTATGGACGGACAGGAGTGGGACTTTTGAACAATCTACTTGTTTTAAATCATTCATTTGCCATTCTGATTATCACAGAAACACATGATTATAACAAAATAAACAAGACAATCCAGTGCGGAAACACACGTCAGAGACAGACAAGCCAACAAAACAATAGAAGTTCCTTGAAACCTGTAATTTCTTTAAATCTTCACCATTAGATTTATTAAATATTGCTTATTGTATAAATGAACATAAGTCAGCTCAAACCGCCCCGAGGCTAAACCTCGCCCTTTCCCTGTCCTGTAGCTCGTAAGTAAACGGTTTGGGCGGTTTCGCCATGTTTACACAAGTTCTGTTCTCTCGGGCAGAGTCTCTCAGGAGGAACCCGCGAACAGAAACTCCCTCCGGCTCCCAGACTCGGAACTTCTCGTCTTTTATTTCCGTGTTGGAGGCGTCGGCAGATTTCAGACAAATTGTCAAGATCATGACTTCAGCTTTGTGATGGATATTTTCAATAAACATTACTTTGCAAGCAATACAGTGGTGGTGGTGGTAGGCAGAACTTTACTCTCGTTCCCGGGATGACGTGGACCATATCCTGGGTACGAGATCACAGCACGAATGACCTCTAACCTCCCAACGGTGCGACCAGGAAGTTAGGTTGAAAGAGAAAGTTGTTACCTGAACACGTATCCAGGTAAGGCCTATATTTATGGCTCCAACTCATCTATATCTGCTAGTGGTAAATCTACGTTTTCCTAGATCCAGGCAATAGGTCTATTTTACAGCTGTTTTCACAAATTAAGTACATTTTGATAGTCCATGTGGCCTGTTGTAGTACGTTATAAGAACCAGGTGTGTTAAACAGGTAACTTCAGGTGTGCATGTATCATGGCCAGGTGTTCTGGTCACTTCTCCGGGATTCTGACGGTTTATAGAACGAAACTTTAGTGGATAACGTTCCACCTCACATAAGGGCGAGAGTACCAACTTAACGCTGGTGAGAATCGAGTCGAACAACAGTTAAATATGTAGCGGTACTGTTTGATATCGGCCTTCGGTAACTTTGTAAGTAACTCATGTTAGTAGCGTGAGTACGTTTAAAATGTTTATGAAGTTCTTCAAAACTATAGACTGACTGTAGATTATTTGTGTGTTTTTGACGATTCTTTCGGTTGTCATTCGGCTTCAAATGTGCAGAAAAAATAACGCTCAGTAACTTTATTGTTGTTGTCGTCACCTGTCCCAAAATGGCGGACACCAATCTCACGATTTTTGCACAAGGCAGAGATGCGCACTGCATAAGTAAGTAGGTCACATGTACTGGGGTCGAGTTGAGGTCATATGTACTCATTCCTCGCGGTGGGGAGGGGAGGGTTGCACTCCTCCGGCGTCTTTCCACTCCTGTGCGGATCATGACTGCGTGAGGGGAGCCTCGTGAGGGTCTTGGGTCTAATTCTGTATGTCGGTATTAGTAAGAAACTCAAACAGCACTTTTGTTATAATTTTCGTTGATAAAGCTCAAAATCATTAAAGGTGCACAGCTGTGTATTTCACTTCAGGGCCTTGTACCCAAGCATAATGGTTTGGGAGACGCACAGCAGAATCACAAATTTATACGGGTGTCCTAATTCCGACCTACTATTAAATAAACACAGGTCGATCTACACACAAACTATGATTGAAACAATCTTCTTCAATCTTCCTCGAGCCTCTCTATTCGATGAGGTGTAGCTGTGAATTTTTGTCTCCAGTACAGTCTATCACTGTCATTGTGGACAGAAGTTCCGATCCTTGCAGACTAGAGATTCTTTCAGACTCAATGAGTTGTGCTTGGACAACCAATTCTCCTTTTTTGTATCTGGAGACCAAAGTAGGAGTCGTCCCACTGTTCTCTACCACGAGTCACATGATCCGCAAGGGCAAGATAGCATCTTTTCACTACCGTGGTGTAACTGTTTGTGAAGTGCTTACACCAGGTATGTTATAGGCTACCCGCAACATCTTATAGTAGGTATTATTGAATCTTGTAGTGTTCATGACCCACGAATCGGATCCGTACAAAAGAAAAGCTTCAATGCATGCCTGAAATACTTTTGTCTTGGTTTGTTTTCTAATGGGGGATTTCCATACATACCACGCCTGGGCATTACAATCTACAACTATTTTTCTGTCCTAAACAAGTACACCGTACAGGTAATATTTGCGCGGCTCTCAGGTCTGGGGACCAGGTAAGGCACCGTACAGGTAATATCTGCGTGGCTCTCAGGTCTGGGGACCAGGTAAGGCACCGTACAGGTAATATCTGCGCGGCTCTTAGGTCTGGGGACCAGGTAAGGCACCGTACAGGTAATATCTGCGCGGCTCTTAGGTCTGGGGACCAGGTAACTAAGGTACCGTACAGGTATTATATGCGCGACTCTTAGGTCTGGGGACCAGGTAAGGCACCGTACAGGTAATATCTGCGCGGCTCTCAGGTCTGGGGACCAGGTAAGGCACCGTACAGGTATTATATGCGCGGCTCTTAGGTCTGGGGACCAGGTAAGGCACCGTACAGGTAATATCTGCGCGGCTCTCAGGTCTGGGGACCAGGTAAGGCACCGTACAGGTAATATATGCGTGGCTCTTAGGTCTGGGGACCAGATAAGGCACCGTACAGGTAATATCTGCGCGGCTCTCAGGCCTGGGGACCAGGTAAGGCACTGTACAGGTAAGAATTGCACATTTCTTAGCCCTGGGGAACAGGTAAGGCACTGTACAGGTAAGAATTGCACATTTCTTAGCCCTGGGGAACAGTAAGGCACTACTGTATAGGTGACATTTGCAGTGTCCTTTATCTATGGACAAATTAAGAAACCATACAAGTAAGGTTTGTATGGCTCACAGCTCTTGAGCTCTTCAGACCTGATAAGAAGACCATACGCATTTCTCTCTTTTTTCAACGTATTTTCCAGAAAGGAGAGAAAGATCACACAGCAGGAAATGGAGCTGTCTATGCATCACATCCTGGAATTCTTGGAAGTGCCAGCCTTTTTTTCTCAACAAGAATGCTGAACCGTTACTTATGTTATATTAATTCTGACAGGTTCTTTCTCCAAAAAGTAGACTAACTAGAAGTAGATTATAGTGATGAACTGTACAACAATTCTGTTTGTTTGTTTGTTTGTTTTCTATTTGTCCTAGTTGCATGTAGAACAATATTTATAGAACTGTTTAAAGCATAACATGGTATTATAGTAACTAGATTCAGTACCTGTAGTACCTGTAGACATTGATTGCCTGTATATTGATGATGCATTGTATATTATTTTTAGCACAATTCAATTATTATTAAAGCTGAAATACATCTTTTCACTATTGTTTCAATAGACTTTTATTTTCAGTGTAGTTCAAGTCAGTATACAATACACAAACTGCAAATGAACAGCATTAAATCATGTATCATGCATGCCGTTAACAACCCTAGTATTTGATAGGAGTGACTGTGTAAAGACTAAAAGGACTTTATAATGGAAAGTTTTTGCAATTCTGAGGTAATGTAGGAATTAGTGATTGAGATGAAGAAACCTTCAGAAAATGACAGATTTAAAGCCCCTTTCAATGGTTGCACTCAATCTTTCTTGGGGAACGTAAACCTGTGGGTTTTTTTTTACTTCAGAGAAATCTATGCTTTAATGAAGCCAATGTCAACCAATTACGGCATCAGACTGGGATTCCATACAGTAACTTTATAAGCTTCTATGAATATACCAGCTGAATTTGAAAGAAATTTAAACTTTTATTTTGAAAAGTTGTGAGAGATTTCATGAAGACATTTCAATTGTAAATAACTCAATGACTAATTACGACATCAGCACGGGAACTGATACAGTAACTTTGTAAGCTTTCATGAAAATACCAGCCGAATTTGAAAGAAATCCAATCAGTTTTAGGCGAGATACAGACACTGACACGTTTTCAGCGCGCGCGAAGCGAGGCCGCCTCCGCTTCGCTGTGTTTCGCATACACAAATTTAGGTCGATTCTTAACGCGACATGTGAACTTGCGTTTTCCTTTCTAGACCGAGAAGGAATTGATATTTTTGGATGAAACTTGGACACCAGCATCCTGACATACTTATGTATGTCTGCTGTGAACAGATTTGCTCTGTCTTTAATTTTCGTAAAGCTACAGGCAATTCATCTTTCTTCATTTTTCGGCCATGCCCAAATGTCCCCTTTGATGTGGTATATTGCAATGATAAGGTATTAGGGAATAACAGTTGTAAAATCGACACAATCTTTCAGTGATATCACCACACCCTTTTTCAGCGGTTGCACTCATTCGTTTGGAGGAAAGTTAACTTTTATTTGGTTTTTATATAAATGCTCACAACTTTTCTTTTATTTCTAGGACTCAACAAGATTCTACATTTCTGTGATTGGCCTGACTCCCACATTGAGCAAATAAGGCATCGCAATACTAAGATACATGTAGAGTTAGGGATCTACATTATGAAATAGACATAATCTTCTATATATTCTGTTGAGGACCTTTCAGTGGTATCGCCACTTCCTTTTTCATTGATTGCACCTATTGGTTTGGGAGGAATGTAAACTTTTATTTTGAAAAGTTGTGAGAGATCTATGCTTTCATGAAGAAATTTCAATTGAACATAACTCGATGACTAATTATGACATCAGCATGGGAACTCGTACAGTAGCTCTGTAAGCTGTCATGAACATACCAGCCGAATTTGAAAGAAATCCGTCCAGTTTTAAACGAGTAATGGAAACCGACACGTTTTCAGCTCGCGCAAAGCGAGGTCGCCTTCAAACGGCTGTGTTTCGCATAGACAATTCTAGGTCGATTTTGACCGCATCACGCAAAATTGCGTTTTCCTCTCTGGACCGAGAAGGAAATAATATTTTTGGATGAAACTTGGACAACAGTATCCTGACATACGTATCTATCTCTGCTGTGAACAGATTTGCTCTGTCTTGAATTTTCGTAAAGCTACAGGTAATTCATCTTTCTTTATTTTCGGCCATGCCCCCAAAATTCCCCTTCAATGTGCGGTATTGCAATGATATGGTAGAGATAGGGATTTACATTATGAAATTGACATAATCTTTTATATACGCCTATTGAGGACCTTTCAGTGGTATCACCACGTCCTTTTTCAGCGGTTGCTCTCATTCGTTTCGGAGGAACGTGAACTTTTCTTTTGAAAAGTTGTGAGAGATCTATGATTTCATTAAGACATTTCAATTGTAAATAACTCAATGACTAATTACGACATCAGTATGGAAACTCATACAGGAACTTTGTGAGTTTTTATGAACATACCTGCCAAATTTGAAAGAAATTCAATCAGTTTCAGGCAAGATACAGAAACTGACGCGCTTTCAGCTCGCGCAAAGCGAGGTCGCCTTCAAACGGCTGTGTTTCGCATAGACAATTTAGGTCGATTTTGACGGCATCACGCAAAATTGCGTTTTCCTTTCTAGACCGAGAACAAAATGATATTTTTGGATGAAATTTGGACATTAGTATCCTACAATACTGGTCTATCTCTGCTGTAAACAGATTTGCTCTGTCTTGAACTCTCGTAAAGCTACAAGCAATTCATTTGTCCTCATTTTTCGGCCATGCCCCAAAGTCCCACTGGAATGTACGATATTGTAATAATAAAGTAGAGTTAGGGATTTGCATTAT